ATCTCCCGTTCCATTCGGCATTATTTTTAATGTCCATATTGCTAGACAACATTTGTTATAATAACATACTAGATACTTAGGGTGTGCTCACACTTTCACCACATCAAAACTCAGGCTAAACTGGGACTAAACCCATAACTAAATATGGACTAGATCTGGACAAGGACTAAACCAAATTTACCTTGGCTCTCAAATTGGGCCCAAACCTGAACCAAGTGTGAACACTCCTTTCCCACACTAACCTAAAATACAAACCACTCAAAATGTGTTATTTAGTTCAGAAAATTGTTCTATTTCAAGAAGCAGGTTTAGGCCAAACTCAGACTCAGACTTTGTTAACCTTGAAAAGAGCTCAACTCATATTTTTCTGTTTCACAGTGAGGGTTAACCCAAACCCTGAGTCAGTCACCATGGTAACTCGCTCTGTGAACCTGATCTAGTTCAGAGCAGGTTTTATTCCTCTAACCCTGAGTTTAACCTGAGTCTGCTGATGAAGCAGAGCTTTGATTGGTCAGTCACAGATGGACCAGGTGAACTCAGGCTTTTATTCATTTATACTGGACACTTATTTTACTCAAATGATTTAAAAGTCTGATCAGTCATCACCTTCTGCAGTGTGTGTTGGGAAGTGTATTCAGTTTAAGTCAAGTACACAACTCAGTGAGCTCAATGAGCTACAGTCTGAAATCAAATATTAAAATTATCATTTTATCTTTTTAAAAACACTTTACTGTTTTTATCTAAGTAGGCTGCAGCAAAATAATGTAGGCCTTTTGAGTAGCATTATTTGCATCGTCATAGTAAAATAGAATAAATGGATTAAACAATCTGCTCCTCCACATTACTTTTATATTAAACCTGACTGATCCACAGTCATAAGACTTCCTGTCCCTTCAAGATGGACACCTCCTCTGGCTTACCGTTGTCATGGTGAATTCTCTTTTCTGGGATTCATAAAGTGTGTGTCTTCTGCTAAACTCAAGGTTTACTCTCTGCATTTTCTAACTCAATTCCAAACCTGTTTACTGAAACAAAACTCTGAGTCTCAGGAGAGATTAACCCTGAGTTAACTCTTTAACCTAGAGTTAACTGAACTTCCTTTGTGAAACAGGTTTATACTTCTTGTGAGTACTTCTGTGCAATTATAGTTGGTTAGTAATTGCCCATATAGTAGCAGGGCTATCACTAAAATACACACAAACCTTGACTCTTTCATTCATTTATTACCATTTAGTTAATGTTTCTTGTAGAATATTTCTCACAATATTAGTTTTGTTTCCTTTAGGCGGAAGAGGCTCACAGACTGGGACACAGACATCACTCCTCTGGTCGGGGAGGAGCTCTTAGTCGAAGTCCTAGATGATATTCCACTTTCAATGCACAATTTTGTAAGGATTTTTTCGTTTCATGTTTTATACAGTTTGTAAGTTAATTTTGCAAACAGATTTTACAAACTTTTTCTCTTTTCAGGTACGTAAAACTTTTTTCAAGCTGGCTTTTTGTGATTTTTGTCACAAGTTTCTTTAACGGCTTCCGGTGTCAGACGTGTGGCTATAAGTTTCATCAGCACTGCAGTAGCAAGGTTCCTACTGTGTGTGTGGACATGGACACAGTGACCAAAATGTAAGTTCTAATAGGCCTGTAGTTTTCTATTGTAATTGGAACTGGTGAAACTACTGTTAATATATTGATTTAGATTGATATAATCGCATAAAATGAAATCCGACTTGCTCATTGTACATATACAAAGAATTGACCAAACACGACTGCTTAAAGACACTGTATCTGGTTTTTACTGTCTTAAAACGTGAAAAACAGATTGAGTTCATTTTAAATAGTTTGCAGTGATTCAGAGTTATTCCTCCTTATGCATTCCGAGTTTCCTAAATTTTCACCACAATGAGTTTATAAGTATATTTCACAAGAGGCCAGAACAGTAGGGCTAACAACAACTAGCATGCTAACCGTGCACTGATTACTGGACACTAAAACAGTTGTTTAAATATGGAACTTTTTCATAATGTTAAATGATATGCATAACTGTCAACTGTTTTTCAACTGTCAGCAACTTTCATAATTATCATGATATAATTGTTAGACAATCGTCTTGTTGTACCTGTAGTTTAGACATCTGTGTGAATGCTCCTGGAGATGTTTAAGATGTGTAGTCTGGACAGAATCCTAATTTTTAAAACATTTATCACAAATTTAATTGCAGTATTTTTTTCCCACAAAATTTTCAGCCCTATTACATGCCATTTCTTCCACCAAAAATGGCAGATTTGCATTTAGAGATACTTTGTTATTTGTCCCATATCTTTTCCACAACTGTGATATTATCCAGCTATGTTTTTCTTCTCTGTTTACATAATGGTGACTGAAGTTTGTGTGTTATTACAGTAAGATTGACGCCCAGCCCTATGTAGATGCGTACCCTCAGATCATGCTGCCAGAACATTCCCCTTCACAGAGCAACCTCGACTTTGTCCCAGATCCTTCCGGGTAAGAGCACACTCAAAGATAGTTATTGAGAAAAGGAAATAAAATGACACCAAAATAAACTGACAAAGTTGATCAATATAAAATCAGGTCTCTTCAGATCAGGTCCTCCAGAAGATTGAATATGGCCCCAGCCTACTTTAGTTGTTTACTGTAAATCTTGATTTAGACCTGGCTTTATTCTGGGTTACTAGTTTAATCCTTGCTTAATTCTTCTTTAGACCTGCTTTAGTCCTAGTTAATTCTGGGTTAGTCCTGGTTCAGTTTGTCTTATTTGTTGATTTGAAACAGGCCAATGCCTTAACTTTGCTATTAAACCTGGCAAACCTTTGGTCTAATGTAGCTAACGGCTATAGTAATAATGATTCTTGTATTTCCATGTTAAAGGATGGACCTGCTCTCCCCGACCTCGGCCTTCCCCTTCCCCCTGCCTGGTGCAGAGGGTCAGTCTTTACAGAGGCATCGCTCCACCTCCACCCCCAATGTGCACATGATCAGCACGGTCGGCCCCGTAGGAGTCATACGAGAGGTGTGATTTTTAGTTTATTTGTCAGGACATTGCACAGTTATTAGGTTATCCATATAGCATAGCCATTTTATTGTTTTAATAAAATGTTCTCCTTGAAACTAATGATTGTATATTCCACCTTGTGGTAAATTTAAGAGTGTGACAAAATATCAAAATAACTGTAATGATTGTAGCATATTGTAGAGTGAAGAGAGACCCATATATCTGCCCGATATGTGTGCTTTTTTTCCCCTTTCTCCTCAGTTGCTTCAGAAGTTGTTCTGACACCCCAAAATAGAAATTTGATTTTTTCCAAGGCACACCTGGCAATACCTCAAATAACACTAATGTTCCCTGGCACACTGGTTGAAAAATGCTGTAGAGTGTAAAGATTATCACACACAAAAAATAATAAAGCCCATTGAATAAATTAACTTGAAAACATACCCCTATATTATTAGTTCAGTCTTTAATTTCACTTTACCATTTCTATTAAAACAAAACATTTTTGTATTATAATTAACTTTTCTATTTCATTCTCAGGAAACTCTACGATACAACAACACAATAGGTAAGTCATTTTTACTCTCCTTTTCATCTCTATTTTATGGTTCCTTCCTAACATTTATCTCCTGTGTCCAGGACCTGAGCCTTCGCCGAAACTGTCCACCAGCCCCCCCACCTCCCTGGGCTCCCCGGGCAGAAGACCCCCCAAGTCCCCCTCCGAGCACAAGGAACGCAAGCCATCCTCCTCAGACGACAAAAAGAAAGTGGTGAGAAGTCTGTTGTGTACTCTTAATTTACTGCTCTCATTAATTCAAGTCTTATATTCATGATAATAGAATCTCTTTTTTTATTATTTAAGAGAGCTACTGGTATAAATTATTAGTTTACATAGTTCTCCATCCTTTAGCTAAAAGTTATCTCTCTTCTAGCAACGAGGAGGGATTCGAGATTCGAGTTACTACTGGGAGGTGCAGTCCCGGGAGGTGACCATCCAGAAGAGGATAGGGTCTGGCTCGTTTGGGACAGTGTACAGAGGAAAGTGGCACGGAGATGTGGCCATAAAAATCCTCAAAGTAACTGAGCCCACACCGGAGCAGCTACAGGCCTTCAAGAATGAAATGCAGGTTCTACGGTGAGAAAAAAGGGTCCTTGCTGGGTTTCAGATGATATCACAGCGTTCTATAGGCCAGTATTATTTAATGTAGCTCTTTAGGAAGGCAATCATCATATTTTAATAATCCCATAGGAAAAAGTCAGTCTTGGTTAAGCAAAGGATGTATATTTCAGAATGAGACTGGGGAAATCTTTGCTGAATTGTGTTTCCATTCTCTCATGCCCTGTAATGTATAAACTGTATAATAATTTGTTTATAGTGTCTTAAAGTGAGCGTATTTAGTGAAATGGTGAATTATCAAATGTCAAAAGTCTCAATACAAAACCCCATTTTCTTTGTAGGAAAACCCGACATGTGAACATCCTGCTGTTTATGGGCTACATGACCAAGCCCAACTTTGCCATTATCACGCAGTGGTGCGAGGGCAGCAGCCTGTACCGCCACCTGCATGTCACTGAGACCAAGTTTGACACCATGAGGAGGATCGACGTGGCACGGCAGACCGCTCAGGGCATGGAGTAAGGCACTCTGCAGGTGTTTTACAACGTCAGGTACTCTTTATCACTGAAATAACTGTTTTTGCTCTCTTCACAGTTACCTTCACGCCAAGAACATCATTCATCGGGATCTCAAATCAAACAGTATCCTTTTTGCAGCAGTTGTTTTTAAGTCTAATAACTGTTTTGACTTAAGTCAATGTGGAATGTATTGATAAAGCTGTGCTTTAACCAGGCCTTTTCCACCAGGCTGGTGCCAGTGCCAGTTCTCTGCCAGTTCCTATTTCAGAACCAGTTGTGGTGAAGTAGTAAACATGAAATGTACAAAATATTATAGTGTTCACTTTCTAAAAGTAAATAATGGAGAGGGCAAAACAAAGCCAGTCTTAGTTGAAAAACAGCAAAAACTAAGGAGCAGTTAGAAGAAAAAAACTTAATAAATGTTAAGTAGCATAGTTTACTATCAGTTAACAAATACTAGCTATTATTAAGTGGAAAACAAAACTGACACCTCTCAAAACTGGAAAACGGGAATCTGACCTGAATCAGCTCAGAACCAGCAGCTTAGTGTAAAAGTGTCACTTTTCTGGTTGAAGGTCAGCTCTTTGAATATTTGAAGAGACTTTTTTTTTTCAATCTACTTTTATGCAATTCTGATTTTAGCATTAACAATATTGTCTAAATCGATAATGGTTTGATGTGGTTGAAATTTGTAAACTGTGGTAATTCTCCTGAGCTTTGAGCAGACATTTTCTTGCACGAGGGCTGGACAGTGAAGATTGGGGACTTTGGTTTGGCCACAGTCAAGTCTCGGTGGAGCGGCTCACAGCAGGTGGAGCAGCCCAGCGGCTCCATTCTGTGGATGGTGAGATTCCTGTGTCCTGTCTGTTATTCCTGTATCCTCTGTCTTTCTTCCTGTTGTTCATGATTTTCATTGTCAAAACCTGCACCAGTGTGAACAACCAGAAAGAAATTGGATCACTCTCATCTGTTGTAACTATTAAAGGCGCATTGTGGAACTTTTCTAGTGGAGAATGCCAATTTTTGTATGTATTTTTTGCTTGGCGTGGTAGGTCTTATATCTCCTCTCTCCTCCATTTTGGATTTAGGCTCCCGAGGTGATCCGGATGCAGGACCCAAACCCCTACACATTCCAGTCGGATGTTTACGGATATGGAGTCGTGTTGTTCGAGCTCATGTCAGGAACGCTGCCTTATTCCAATATCAACAACAGAGACCAGGTATCAGCATCCACAGCTTCTCACACATGTACAGTCCCCATCGAAATAGCATGGACAGATTACAGATGTACTTAAAAGCGACACTTAAACAAACAAAACAAACATTTAAACGAAAATTCAGAATGGTCTTCTTGGATTTTGATTGTTGTAAGACTTTCACTGTATTAATGCTGACACACAAAAAGAACATTTAAAACATCTTAGGAAAAAAAATTAATTAAAACAAAAATAATCATTTGAATTCTAAGTAGAAGATTTTTTATTTAATTTTATTTTTTCATATAATTGGGGATTATTCCACAAATGCTACATGCATTATTTGGGCAATATATAATCACTATTAAGTAAGTAAGTAAGTCCCCATTTATATAGCGCTTTTCACAGACATTTTTGTCACAAAGACGCTTTTACAGAGCATTACATTCAGCATATATTATTCATTCACTCTATACCTGGTGATGGTAAGCTACTGTTGTAGCCACAGCTGCCCTGGGACAGACTGACAGAGGCGCATCTGCCATGCCAATCGGCGCCAACGGTCCCTCTGACCACCACCATCACTCACACACACCACTTTCATACTAGACAATGTGGGTGAAGTGTCTAGCCACTAGCACCAGTGCCCTGGACAGGTTCATTGAATTGATTGTATTTACTTGACCTTGACTATCAGCTGTTCTGGAGACCTGTAGCATGTTTTGGGTTGACTGGATGGGTTTCCTCTGGGCGCTCCGGTTTCCCCCATCAACCCAAAACATGCTACAGGTCTCCAGAACAGCTGATAGTCAAGGTCAGTTAAATACAATCAATCAATGAACCTGTCCAGGGACTACAGGTGGAAATTAGCACTGATGCTACAACCTGATGTACAATGCATCTCTCCTGTCAAGGTTAATGCGAAAATTGTGCGCTGTCCCTGTCTCAAATAAATAAATAAATAAAATAAATGGGGAGAAACATACAAACTCCACACAGAAAGGCCCGAGCAACCTGGAACCTTCTTGCTGTGAGGCATGAGTGCTAGCCACTCAGCCACTGTGCAAAAATTCATATGTACGGCCCATGTCCGTCAGTAAATAAAAATAAATAAAAAACTCACAGGAAGTCATAATTATAAGTTTTAATGTTATAATTATGAGATTTAAAGGCATAATTCCGAGTTTAAAAGTCGGAAATAGGCTTCCATACATATGTGATCATATTAAGTTTTTATTTTAATCTCAAAAGTTTTTAGTTGTTTTTATTATATATAATTTTGAACTAGATGTTAAAAACATTTGAAATGAAAGCATTGCACTTATTATAATAATAATAATAATTAAGCCTGATAAACAATCACACTTTGACACAGACTGATTTGTTTTGTTTGGTTTCAGATCATCTTTATGGTCGGCAGAGGCTTCGTGTCCCCAGATCTTAGTAAACTGTACAGTACTTCTCCAAAGTCCATGAAGAGGCTGATCTCAGACTGTCTCAAGTTCAAAAGAGACGAGAGGCCACTCTTCCCACAGGTTTGGGAATACCTTTTATTTTGTTTAGCTCCACCTGCAGATATGTAATGTAATGTTTTATTTTATGATCTCTTCATAGTTTACTCAAGTTGGTGTATGAAAAATTATTTTTCCACAACTTGTTTTTGAAATTTTGAGTTTCAGTGTATTTTATAAACACGTTGGTATTGTGTCTCATCAACAGCACCTTATAGCATTACTTTGTATAAGAGAAAAAAAACATTAGTGTCACTGATCATTGTTGCAGTTTGCCTTTAATTGAGCTGCAAAAACACAGTACTAATGTGAAACTTATATCTGCACTCCATTCTGCTAAGTGCTAAGTGAAATATAATCTATATAAACAGAGAAATATGTTAATTAGATACATAAATAGATTGGTTAATTAAAGGTGCACTATGTAACTGTTTGGTTGGGGGTCCATCACCTGCATGTTTCTATTAAGTCATTGCTCTGCCTGGAATGTTCCACAGTATAACATTAAACACCTCTACCTTACATTTATTAAATTACAGGTGGTTTATAAAAAAAATCTCTCAAAAATCCCTATTAAAACAGGCATTCTGACTGTGAGCGGGGATTTGAATTGAAAGAATTTGACGTACCATCGACCAAAAAATTATTGTTTATGGTGTGTGTTGCTTGCAGATCCTGGTCGCCATAGAGCAGGTGCAGGACATGCTGCCAAAGATCGAGCGCAGTCGGTCGGAGCCGTCTCTGCACCGCGCCGTCCACGCCGAGGACCTCAACCCGCTCCTGCTCAACACCACCAGGTTTTTGGCCCTCTAAAGACCCCCTACCACCTGCACATGCCTCCAGCACCCTGCCCCCAGCACCTGCTGCCCTCAGCACCGGGCACCTACACGGGGTTGCCCCTCTGCGCACACCCCAGAGGAACCAGAGACCCCACCCCTGCACCTGGAGCACTGGGCACTCAAACTCTGTAACAAACTGCAAATATTGTTTTTATATGAATGTAGGTCTACTTACATTGAATCAAATGGAGTGAAACGACAAGACTGCGAAAATGTAAAAGGCACAATAGTGGAGCTGCTAAGTGTAGTGCAAAAGAGTTTCCAAAATGACTAGCTCTTCAGGAACCTGGCATTAAAATGTTAAAGGTAAAAATCTTGACTTTTGTTTGCCCAGCAGAGGGTGTAATAGTACAACTGTTAAGTTCATGCTGCTTTCTGACCCTATCTTTGCCTGGCAAGTCCAGAATGATATCGTCCTCTATTTTTTATCCAGAGAGGTCACTTCTCCCTCTGTTGCATCTCGAGCCAGGGCTGAACATGATCCTCTTGACACATGTGATGCGTCAGAGCTCATTGGTTACCCATCATTCACAAAGTAAACAGCAAGGTCTGTGATGTTGTTCAGTGTCCTGTGATATTTTTTTTCTTCCGTTTTTTTCCTCATAAGCAGCCAAATTTGTTCTGATTCGGAGAGACCATGCATGTCCCTGATTGGCTAATCCACCTGTCAGTCACACCCATCTGATAACAGGAGATTCACTGGTGACTCACATCTTCACATTGGAGAAGTGTAAATTCTAGATCCCAGAATGTTTTTTTATTGTAAAAGACAGCTCTGATCAAAACAGCACAAATTTCAGTTCAATTTTTAAAATGAATTGCATTTTGATGCCAGGTCAACAGGGGGCGCTAGTCTGCCGCAAATCTTTACTTCACAAGAGAAGCTTTACGTTCTACTGTTAAAAAGGAAAAAAAAAAAAAAGGCTGACAAAATAAATCCAAAATTTCAAAGTTGACACAAATTTCAAGATCAAATGTGGAATTTCAACACCCAAAATTGTAAGTGACTGCAGATCAGTAGCTTATAATATTGTTTTATCACCAGCATAAACAATGGCAGTAAGAGGCCAGTACCAGTCCCCATTGTAGACATCACAAAACATTTCGGTATGTTTTTTTTTTTTTTTTCTTACCATATTGAAGAATAGACTTTTAAGCATTTACTATAATTAATGTGGTGGGATCCGTTTTTTGTTTTTTTTTTTATAAATGTTCAGTCTTAATGTAAACAGTTTGTTGTTTTGCTGCTATTTGAGATTGAGTTTTGAAAGTTACTGGTCAATGTGTTTTGTCTATGGGTTAGTCTTAAAAACAAGATGAAAAATAATTACTGTAGCCATCTGGACTCAGTTGTCAATACGGTAAAGGGCTGTCAATGATTTTTGTGATGTTTTTATTAATTTAACCATGACAGATTTTATACAGAAAATTCATCACTTATTGTGTCATTAATTAAAACAAATTCCCCTTACAAAACTATCAAATTTATGTTGTCATCTCTTGGTTGGGCATTTTAACCACTGAAATTATAACTTAAAGGTGCATTGTGTAATTTTTCTGGTGGAGGGTCATTGTCATTGCTCTGCCTGAAATGTTCCACAGTATGGCATTAAACAGCTCTACCTTATATTTATTAAAATTCTGGTGGTTCTACAGCTCAAAAATACCTAGAAAAATCTGCATTCTGACTGTGAGTGGGGTTGCCTCTCCACAGATCCGACCTGTAACTTGATCTGGTTTGTTTTTTATGAAGAAGAAAGAAAGGTTTAATATCATACAGTGAAACATTCCAGACAAAGCAATAAATCTCAGTGGAGAAAAGCATTTGAGAAACCCTCCACCAGAAAAGTTACACAATGCCTCATTAAATCTTATGAAGTGATTTTTATTTTTTTTTAATTAACCACTTTTTTCTGGGTAACATTTTATAAAGTTACTGATAGTTGCCTTACTCTCAAATCAGGGTATAAGGGTACAAAACCAAATACGTAGAACTAGAGAGATCTCCAAGTAGCTCCATAAATGTCTAATTAATGAACCAATAGGCATTTTACTGTACCCCATCTTAAAGCCACACTATGTAACTTTTTTGCTGGGGGTCCTTCACCTGCTTGTTTCTATGGATATGTCATGGCATTAAACAGTGCCACCTTACGTTTATTCAATTAGAGGTGGTTTTAGAGCTGAGAAATACTTAGAAAAACAGACATTATGACTGTGAGCTGGGTCGCCTCTCCACAAGCCTGACCCCTAACTTGGTCTGGTTTGGTCTCCATGAAGATAGAATGGTTTCATACTGTGAAACATTCTAGACAAAGCAATAACATCTCCATGGAGAAAAGCAGTTGGCAGATACTCCCCCAGAAAAGTTATACAATGGACCTTTAAAGTGAAACTAAACACTAAATCCACTAAGCATATGGTGTTTGATTAGCATTATCCACCGTCCCTGTCTTTTTTTTTTTTTGGCATCTTTAGTGCAAACTAGGTCAATTTGAAGCTTTCCGGTCAAATACCCCTAAATTAAAGTTTGTGCTGCTTTCAGGGGCCTCTGTAATTTGAAGTAGTTGGTGATATCACGCAAGACTGCCCTGATTGCAGCCAGGTGTTTCTGAATACAAACACCTGCCTGTAGGGGCGGAGTTTGAAGTGTAGATACCTGTTCGACCAATCACACTGTTCCTTATATTCCCAGACTCCACCCCTTCTCCGCCATCACTCTCTTTTTCGGTCCTCCAGGTACTGCGCAGTTTAGTAGCTCTATTTGAAAGGGGGGTGGAGTTTAGTTTTATCTCTCTTTTTTTTTTAATAGGTGCATTGTGTGACTTTTATTGTAGGGGTTGTCTACCTGCTTGTCACCATGGAGACTGTATGATGTTGCCTTGAATATTCCACAGTAAATGATCCATCTCTAGTGTTTTATTTCTAAAAATACATTGAAAAACATACATTCTTTTTGGGAGCGGCCTCTCCACAGATTTGACCTGTAACTTTGCCTGGTGGTGTCAACAGCTTGTCTCCATGGAGATTGAGGTTGAAAGCAGTACTGTGAAATGTTCATGGTAAAGCCGTGACATCTTTATGGAATCAAACAGGTAGAAAAGTTACATAGTGAACCTTTCAACAGTTAGTGATCAAACTCATACTTTTTATATATGCCTTACTGTGAAGGCAAGTTACTGAACCAACCAACCAAGAGTTTTTTGTTTTTTTTTACCAATGTTTAAATATATATTTTAAATGAGGGCTGGGTACCCAAAATCATTCCTATTTATATACACACACAAAATAAAAAGTTTGATAAAAATAAAGACAAAAAATCGAAAAACAAATTAATTTCGATGTTCAGTTTGTAGCTTTTATACCAGTTTACTTCAGAGGCACGGCAATATAGATGGTACTACTACAAACAGTTTTTAGTAACATTTTTAAAAAGATTCAGTTTTGTGCCATAGTAAATTTTCTATGGTTAAAATTGCACTATGTAACTTTTTGGTTGGGGTTACGTCACCTGCTTGTTTCTATGGAAATGTCATTGCTCTGCCTGGAATGTTCCACAGTATAACATTAAACAGGTCTACCTTACATTACAGGTGGTTTTATAGCTCAAAAATACTTAGAAAAACAGGACTGAATAAAAAACAGAAAACAGAACTTCTGACTGTGAGCGGGGTTTCCTGTCCACAGATCTGACCTGTGACCTGGACAATTCACCTGGACATTCCAAACAAAGCAATAACATCTCCATGGAGAAAAGAATTTGACAGACCCTCCACCGGAAAAGTTACAGAATGCACCTTTAAAATTGGCACACCCACACAGGAAGCAGTAAACAGGAACTTAAACTGTCATCACAGCAGTGTTTTTTTTATGTCAGATGCCCTTCCAGTCTCATATATACTGTCAGTTTTAATGTTTATAGAATAGCTTGAATTTCCTTTAAAATATTGCCCACGTTGGCTACTCCAGATTCTGTGTTCTAATTGCAAACTTTTACATACAAAACCACCAATTAAGAATAAAAAATAGCTGCTTTCTCGAAACATCTTGTACTGTTTTGAAAATCCTGGTGTGGTCAGCAGAGGATTATGTAGGGACTTTCTGCTCCTCAAGTCAATGTAAATTCTGTATGCGTTTCCTTTTCGAGTAAAAATGCCTGATGTTAAAGCCGAACTCTGAAACTTTTCTTGTTACGCTGCTGTTTGGAGTTAAAGGTGCTGTACCCGATTTTTACTGTTTTAAAAAACAAAATGAGTTAATTTAAAACGGTTGGCAGTTATCCAGTGTTATTCTTCACTTATCTCATGCATTTTGACCATCCTAATTAATCACCAGGATGAGTTTATAAGAGCTTTTCACAACTTTCAGAGACCAGAGCCATCACGGACAACAACTAGTATGCTACTGAGCACTTCCACAAAACGCTTTATAGAAAAAAATCTGGTACAGGGCCTTTAAGCACTATATTAAAAGTACAAGTGACTCCTGTATGATCCTTTTATGCATTTTTGGTTGCTCTTCCATGTCGAAAAACAAGTAAAAAGCCATTTCTAGTTTGTTTGTCTAATGTTCACTCTACCAGATTCGTGACACTCATACTTGCAATGTTTTTATCAGGGTCTCCAAATCAACAAAAAGCATTACCAAGTTCTGCTTTCAATGACAGTAGTTTACAGTTTTTCACCCACAGACACTTTCTTTAACTGCAAATGCCACACGTTTTGTTAATACAGATTAATAACAGATGATTTGTTTTGTTTTGGTCTTTCATATCTATTGGTGATTTGCGATAATGGAGCTCAACAATGGGTTTGCACTTCTTTTTCTGTAAGTAAAAACAAACAAAACAAAAAAAATTCCACTGACTTTTTGAAAAATTTTAATTAAAAAAGTGTAGTCAATGGATGGCGCTGTTGAGCTGTGTTGTGTATGTAGTGTCAGGGCTGTTGAGTTTGCAATAAAAAAGAATATTCTGCTGTGTACAGTTTTTTTGGTTTTTTAATTGAAAAAATATGTACCTGTTTCCATTTTTGTGTGATGGTTTTGAACAGAACAAAATTATTTTAAAATGTAAAGGAATCCTAGCATGTTTTTTTTTTTGGTTTTTTTTTTAGATTATTTGTTTTTGTCTTAAGATATTGATGCAGGATTTATTCTTAAATAAAGAAATTCTTCTGTGTTTAAACATGTTGTATTTTTTGCTCAGGATAGAAATACATCAGTTCTGTAAATAATAATAATAGAAAAAGGTTAACTCACCTTTTGGCCCGTAACCAAAATGTAAGATTTCATGGTTAAGTTCAACGTAATCAATCGATACTCTGCAACTACTATTATCAGTATGCCCTGAGAATGTGATGCTAACTGTAGGCACTGCTCTGTCTGAAGCTGTTTCTCAAGTCAGACCTAAATCTGAGCTTTATTATCACACAATCTGACCACAAATAAAATTACAGTCACAGCCAACAGTTTTTCAGTTAGTCACTCTCATAATAATCACTGGCTCCTGAAAATGTGTTGTTTAAATCAATTTTGTATTTATTCTTGACTTTTCAGACAATCTAAAAACTTATTTAGCAGCATTTGCGAGTGTCACCATGGTAGGATATGCCAGATTACCATGTATCATAGACAGCAGGGCCCATCCATCCTTCCATTTTCTTCCGCTTATCCGGGGGCAGCAGTCTAACCAAGGACTCCCAGACTTCCTTCACCCGAGACACGTTCTCCAGCTCCTTCGGGGGGACCCCAAGCTGTTGCCAGGCCAGCCCAGAGACATAGTCCCTCCAGCGTGTCCTGGGTCTTCCTCGGGGCCTCCTCCCAGTGGGACATGCCCAGAACACCTCCTGAGGGAAGCACTCAGGAGGCATCCGGAACTGATGCTCAAGCCTCAACTGGCTCCTCTCGACATGGAGGAGCAGCGGCTCTACTCTGAGCTTCTCCCGAGTAACTGAGCTCCTCACCCTATCTCTAAGGAGCACCCAGCCACCCTGCGAAGGAAACTCATTTTGAGCGTTTGTATCCGTGATCTCGTCCTTTCGGTCAGACCTAGAGCTCATAACCGGACAGCCCTTAGCAAAGGGCCCCGAACCCCGTACTCCCAGAACACCCCCCACAGGACACCACGAGGTACACGGTTGAATGTCTTTTCCAGATCCACAAAGCACTGTGGACATGTGGAGTTGAACCTGGGATCCACAAGGAGCAGTGTGGTTTTCGTCCATCCACAGAAATTTTAGGGCCTGGGACAAGATTCACATGGGCCCCCCTCTAAAATAAATTAATAGGAAGAGGGTCCAATTCTTGGGGTCTGGGACAAAAGACTCCTTTGCCCGTCTACTGTCCTGTTCATATCAGTTAAGTGGCCTGTTGTACAAAACGTGAGAAGAAATGTACTAAAATACAGGAAGTAATGATAAGTTCTGAAACAGAAGAAAAAAAAAATCCAATCAAAATGTAAAAATAATATACAGGCAATCAAGGC